TTTAAAGGGTTTGTAGGATGGTTGGTACTAGGAAGGGACCTGGGAGGTTGTTTAGGCGAACACAAAACTGTAAACAAACCTCTGAAGGAGAAAGCCGTAACTGAACAATAGAAAGAGTTGAAGTAAACCAAAGATTCAGGATAGTCGTAAAATTTTTAATTACCAGTGTGAGACACTAGCACGACAAGTTACACCTGGTAGAGTTTAGACATTATAATTGTGAATTGGGGGGCGAGGTGGGGGTGCATTGCCTGTAATGCCAGCAACTCTCAGAGGTTGAAGTAGGGAGGCTGAGGCAAGAGGATCAAATTCCAGGCAAGTCTGAACAACTCATCAAGACCCTGTCTAGAAATGAAATTTAAATAGGACTTGACATATACTTCAGTGGTAGAGACCTGACCTACACGCAAGCCCCTGGGTTCTATCCCCAGCAACAGCACAACAGGAACAAATAATAATTGTGTAGTGATGTCCAATTATAATTTTGCAACATATCTTTATCAGTAGATAAAGATCTGATTGGTAAGACCAGAGTTTGCTGGTGGAGTCCAGTAGGGCAAGAGGAAGGTGCAGAATTGGACAGTGCTAGAAGGATGCAATTGTAGTAATGGATGACAGGTCTAGTCCTAGAGGACAGGAACTGAAACCAGCAGAGAACTGATAGGCTGAGAGAAAGGAAAGAGAAAGGCCCAAAGAGTACTAGAGGACTGGCCAGTTGGCAGCCGTGTGATATTGGAGGCAAAGACTTCAAAGCTGAAGCAATTCAGGAGCTAGTTGCAGCAGCACAGACCTGTAGTCCCAGCAATTCAGGAGGCTGAAGCAGGAGGATCCCAAGTTCCAAACCAGCCTCAGCATTTTAGCAAGACCCTGTCTCCCCCACACACACTGGGAATTGAAGTTGGGGGCACTCAACCACTGAGCCACATCCTAGCCCTATTTTGTATTTTATTTAGAGACAGGATCTCACTGACTTGCTTAGTGCCTCACTAAATTGCTGAGGCTCACTTTGAACTCACGATCCTCCAGTCTCAGTCGCCCGAGCTGCTGGGATTACAGGTATGTGCCGCCACGCCTGACTGCAAGACCCTGTCTTTAAATATAGATAGATAGATAGATAGATAAATGGGGCTGGGGATGTAGCTCAGTGGTAAAGCGCCCATGGGTTCAATCTCTGGTACCAAAAAATATAAAGAGGCTGGGCACTGTGGCACATGCCTGTAATCCCAGCAGCTCAGGAGGCTGAGACAGTAGCATTGGGAGTTCAAAGCCAGCCTCAGCAATTTAGTGAGGTACTAAGCAACTTGTGAGATCCTGTCTCTAAATAAAATAAAAAATAGGGCTGGGGAGCTCAGTGATTGAGTGCCCCTGGTTTCAATCCCTGGTACAAAAAAAAAATACACACACACACACACACACACACACACACAGGAAGCAATTCCAGAAGATGAAACAGAGAGATGGCTGCTGAAATGGAATAGAAAAGTGAGATGGGGATGCCAGGAATAGGGTCTAGTGCCTGGAGGCCCTCTTTTTGAACATGGTGGAGGGAGGCAGAAGGATGGTGAACGGAGCTTACTCCATTGAGACCAAGGAACTTCCGGGGAATGTGGGGGAGTGTCCCCGAAGCTGACAGATGACTGCAACTAAGAAGGTTGCCTGGTGCCAGGGACAGTTGCTAATGCCTGTAATCCCTGTGGCTTGGGAGGCTGTCAGGAAGATCACCAGTTCAAAGCCAGCCTAAGCAAAAAGTGAGGCCCTAAGCAACTCAGTGAGACCCTGTCTAGTATGCTGTTTTTAAAGCCTTTGGGTATAGACGAAGGAGTGGGATAGCTGGGTCAAATGGTGGTTCCACTCCCAATTTTCCAAGAAATCTCCATACTGAAAAGCTAATGAATTTCTAAGCTAAGCAGATTTTTCCCTGCCACAGATGAAAGAGTAGTGTTATGGAAGAAACAGGAGGAGCTTGGGATATTGAGTTCTTTTGGGAAAATAAGCAGAGACATCACTTAGCAGGGTATCCTTGCAGAAGACCCCAGGTCTCCCCCCAATCCTGCCCCAGTGAGGGAGAATAAAATAAAAGATTACCTTGTAAAAAGGCTGGAAGCACAGAGAAGCTTGTTAGTGAAACAAGTCTTCTTACAGAGGGCAGAGTGGAAGGGATGCTTTTAAAGGGATTGATGTGGATAATAATACTTTACACCTGGGGTGTTTGTAAGGTTCCTTTGCACATTTCAGAACTTCACGTTTACCCATTTTGGAATGAGGAGCCCGAGGTTCTGGTATTACACTCACCTGTAATACCAGAGACTCTCGAGGCCCGGGCTGGGGATGTAGCTCAATGATAGAGTGCCCCTGGGTTCAATTCCCAGTGATGGAAATGTCTTGACCAAAGACAATTAGTTAATATGAGTGGCAAAGCCAGGGGCATCAAGTCAAATGTCTGTCCCCACAGCCGGACTCTTCATTACAGGATACAGGACCTGATCCAGTTATCTTATTTTATTATTCTATGAGGCTAGTGGATGAAAGATATTTTGCAAATATAAAGGAAGGGCGCTATTATGGTAAATATTGCATCTGGAGTTTGGAAATTTAACCATGACCTGGGCACAGGGCACAGTTCATGAGCATCTGCTCATGAAAAACATAGACAGAAAAAAATTTTTTTGATAAGAGTGCAGATTGAGGGGCTGGGGATGTGGCTCAGTGGTAAAACCCTTGGTTAGGGTGAGAAAAAAGAACGAGCAGATTGATCAGGTATAATGACATTCACCTGTAATGCCAGAGACTCTCGAGGCCCGGGCTGGGGATGTTGCTCAATGATAGAGTGCCCCTGGGTTCAATTCCCAGTGATGGAAAAAAAATGGGGTGGGGGTGCAGATTGACTGAATTGTACACGATAAAGGTATGTCCTCATTCAGTAGGTGTCTATTCATGGACTACTACCCACATGACATTGATTTTTTTTTAAAAAAAAGAAGCCGGCGTGATGGGCGCACCTGTATTCCCAGCATCTTGGGAGACTGAGGCAAGAGGATCGTGAATTCAGAGCCTGCGTCAGCAATTTATCCAGGCACTAAGCGACTCAGTGAGACCTTCTCAGCAAGAAATACAAAAAGGCTAGGGTGTGGCTCAATGGTTAAGTGCCCCTGGGTTCAATCCCCTGTACCCCCACACACACACACACACACACACACACACACACACATACATATACACATACACACATTTACCTTTGAATTATACACTTTAAACATGTCAGTAAAGCTGGGGGGGGCGGGAAACAGGTCAGACTTGTTAAGATAAAGTCCTGAACCTGAATAAAATGTCAATATAGCTCAGTTTGGAAAAGTGAACAGTGATGAAATCAGAATTGTAATCAGTCCCCTCACTTATACCATAGGTCACTGGAATTGTCCTACTGATCTCAAAATGGTGGGGGAGAAGGAATCATTGGCAACCATCCAGAATAGATTGCTGGAGGTGTGTGTGTGTGTGTGTATGTATATGTATTTATATATATATATATATATATATATATATATATATGTAATAGACATAATCATCCAGCATCAATAATTACCAACACATGGCCAGACTTGTCTAATCTATTACCTATCCATTTGCCCCCATCTTGTATTAATTTGAAGCAAATTCCATATATGGTATCATTTCTTTGGTCAATTCCTCAGTACAGTACAGTTTATATTTAAAATATAAAACTTGGGCTGGGGATGTGGCTCAAGTGGTAGCGCGCTCATCTGGCATGCGTGCGGCCTGGGTTCGATCCTCAGCACCACATACAAAACAACAATGTTGTGTCCGCCGAAAACTAAAAAATAAATATTAAAAAAAATTCTCTCTCTCCCTCCCTCCCTCCTTCCATCACTCTCTCTTTAAATAAAATAAAATAAAATATAAAACTTTAAGAACATACATATATAACACCATCACCACTTTTTTTTTTTGGTACTGAGGATTGAATTTAGGGGCATTTATCACATCTTGGTCCTTTTATTTTTTATTTTGAGATAGGGTCTAAGTTGCTGAGGGCCTCTCCAAGTTTAGAGGGGCTGGCCTTGAATTTGTCATCCTCCCCCAGCCTCTGGAGTAGATGGGATTACAGATGTGCTCCACTAAAACTTTTCAAATTTTCACAATTCCTTAATTTCACAATTATTCAGTGTCCAAATTTCCAATTATAAGCATCATAATTTTTTTCAAAGTTTCTGCTGAATTAGGATCCTAATAAAATGCACAAGTAGCCTCTTTTCTCCCTGTATTCTAGGGACAAACGAGGCAAGGCACCAAAGATAGCAGGAACAGTTTTATTTGGCTGCAGCCAGGTTCAGAGGGCATAGCTTTTGCTGTAATCAATCAATCCCCTGAACCCCAAGTTCTGGTAGTTTTATACCCAGCATATAAAGGGAGGGCCTCAAGTTCACAGTTTGCAGAAGTTCACATAAAAGCAGCTTTCTCTTTCACTGTTTTGAGCAAGTTAATCCTTCAAGGACAACACCTGGGAAGGGGAGAGCTTCTTCCTTTCTTTCCTCTCCCTGCCAGCTGTTACCATGGAGCCCAATAGCTAACTTATCTTAAAAATGTAGACATCTCTGTGAAGCCCAGCTCAAGGCCAGAGGCCTTGTTTACACAGTTTTGCAAACTATTATACTGGATACATTTGTGAGAAAGTAGTAAGGGGGTATCCAGCACCTGGAGTGCTGGTATCTTCTTAGCCAGTGGCCAAATAAAACAGGGCTACAGGAAAATAGGAAGTTTATCTACATTGAACTCTTTTGCAGAGACTCTTGCTGGCAGTCCTAAAATCAGCCATCTTGCAGATTTCTG